GGAGGAGGAGGACCTCTGGTTGTTCCGTGCTTGTTCCTCTACAGTAGCACTCCGTTTGCACCGGGCGGCGTTGCTGGCGCCCCCAGCGAGCTTGCTCTTTCTTGGAGCGACACCAGAAAACGGGGTCGTCTGCGCCGACATTGGCGCGCGAGTTGCCCGCGCAAGCTCGCGCGTACCCTCGTCTCCATTGTGGCGTGCCGCGCTGGTGGCCCGCGCAAGTCACCGCGTAAGGTCGCCATGCCATCTCGCGTAAGACCCCCTTTTTGTTCGGTGCTCATTTAGCGTCCCCTCTGACAGTACCCCGACTGTACGGTAGGTCCGCATCGTGTCGACCGGCGGCGACCCCGGCGGCGACCCCGCCGCCGGCGTTCAACGTTGAACGCCGCCGGCGACCCATGATCGGTACACGTTGAAAGATCTGACGCTGCGGACATGGCCGATCGCTCACGGTTGAACGATCCCCGCGGTGCCAGGAACCGACGCCGGGGGCGGCACGACGCCATCCTGCATGAAGGGCGCGGAGATGGTCAGAAAGTGCGTGGCCGGCACAGACCTTGTTCGCCGCTCGAGGAGGAAGAGGAGGAGGAGGAGGAGGAGGAGGAGGAGGAGGAGGAGGAGGAGGAGGGAGTAGGAGTAGGAGTAGGAGGAGGAGGAGGAGGAGGGAGGAGGAGGAGGATGGAGGAGGAGGAGCTCTCGGGGCCCCGCCCGAGAGCCGCCGGCCACCGCCGGCGCCATGGACGCGGCAGAGGCGGCCGCCATTGGCTCGGGTCGCCGCCGGCCGCGCGCGGCGCCCCGCAGGCGGCGGCCGGCGCGCGGGGGGGCCCTCCCGCGAGCCCCCGCCGCCGGCGCCTTCAGGCTCTGGACGCCCGAAATGGGTACTGCAGAGTTCGTAATAAAAGGGAGGGGGTCTGGACCCTCCAAGACAAGCCATTTCAGACCCCCCCCCGTGGGAGAACCCTCCAAACATCGTCCCCAGACCCCCCCAGGCCCTCCAAGATAGCCTGGAAGAGACCCCCCCCGAAATGAGACCCCCTCCCTTTTATTACGAAATCTGGAGCACGGAAAGAATGGGTACAGTGCCCCACAGCAGTTCCTGTTCATTGGAACAGGATTCGCTGTCCACGCCGCTGCGGCCTGTGTCCATTCGAGACAGAAGGCCGCCTGCCCAACAGCGGCCGCTGTCGGTTTGGGACAGCATTTGTTGTTGGGCATTGTACCCATTCTTTCCGTGCCCATTTCGGGCGGGGTAACTCGGGTCAGGGCTAACTCGGGTTCCTTTTTCGGGAATCCGAACCCGGACCAGAGTTACCCCGGATCACTCGGGCGTCCAGAGCCCCAAAATCATCAGGGGTAACTCGGGTCAGGGCTAACTCGGGTTCCCTTTTTCGGGAATCCAAGCCCGAGTTACCCCGGGCCCGAGTTACCCCGGATAACTCGGGCGCCCAACTCAGGCGGAGGATCCGCTCGGGGGCTCCCAGACGCTGTTGTGATCACTCGGCGTGGCTTTCGGAGCTGAGATGCTCGTTTGGGGGGGGCCTTCCTGGGGCCCGCCGGACGGTTCTGGTCGACTCCAGTTCGACTCTCGAGTTCGTCTCTTTTCGATTCAGGTTCGACTCGGGTTCGACTCAAAGTCAGCTCAAAGGAGCCGAGGTCTCCGAGATGTTCGGGCATTCTCACCAGTTTCCGTCGATGCTCCAGCCCCTGGGTGCGCTCCAGCAGTTGCACCTCGCCGAGAGCGTTCCTGGGTATGCCTGGTCTGTCCCGAACGGCCGCCGGAGACCCGAGGTACGGTCCGAAAACCGCACCATGTGGTGAGTCAGTGGGGATTCCGGGTCACCCCGCGTCTTTAGGACTCGGGTCGTTCCCCGAGAACGTCTCGGGCGACTGTGGCCTTCAAGGTCACAAGACCATGCGGTGGCGGACCGCGCGGTGAGGTCTCTCGGGATTCCGAGGTCACCGCGCAGTCTGTCACCTCATGGTTTTCGGACACCCAAGTGTCGTCAGAGTCCAGAAGTGGGTCGGGCAGGGTCAACAGTAGCCCGCCCGCAATGGAAACAGGAGTCAGGGGAGGGCGAGTCGAGAAAGCGTGCCCGGGGCCCGCAAGATGGCATCAAAGACAGGCCTTAAGACGGCTCCAGGTGGCCGCAGAACCGCCCAGATGGCCCGTAAGCCACCCCAAATGGCCCTACGAGGCCAAGTAGGGACCCAAAACGAACCCCCAGAGACCAGAGGCCCTCCCAGGGTCCCAAAAGGTCCCAGAAGCGCTTCCATAGGGCACCAGCATGGCTCGAGGACCCCTTCTTCCATGAGTGTTCAAAAGGGGCTCGCGGGGCTCTCCAGCAGGCCCAAGAGATCCCCAGGAGGGCACATTAGCGCGCCAAGGGGTTCCAAAACGGCAGCAAGACACACCGAAGACGGTTCCGAGGAGCCCGAGATGGCGCCAGCGAGTTTTGTGGGAGCTCGCGGCAGCCCCAGGGAACCCATACGGCCCTACGAGGCTTTGAGACCGCCTCCCAAGGGTTCCAGAGAGTCCTAGATAGCGCCGTCGTTGCGCTGCGAGATTCCCAGGAGTATCACCCAATGGATTTTGAAAAGAGATGGATGATGTGCGGGGGGGGGGGATGGAGGAATATGCGGGTCGGGGAGGCGGTCTGAGGAGTGCTGTAGAGGAGGTTTTGGTAGCAAAGTCGATGAGGAAGATTGGCTTGGAGGGAGGGTGGGGGAGAGGAGGCAGGAGGACGACAAGGAGAATGACGATGACGGTTGGGAAGGAGGGTCGGCCACGAGGGCTTGGCACCAGAGGTCTTGGCTGCAGGGCCGAGGAGGACGGCCCCGAGAGGAGGAAGAGGATGAGGCGGGACAATCTTCATCCCCCCTTCCCCAGAGATCCGATGTCGTGTTTTTTTTCATTACGGGGTCTCCCCGGAAGTCTCGACCCATTCCCCAGCACCGGTTCTGCATCCTGAGTCGTTTTTTGACGGTCCCGGGGCCCGGCGAGGGCCCCTCGTCAAACAGGGCTAGGATCGGGATAAATCGCTCCAGAGCGTTCCGGAGCGCTCTCAGAGCGTTCCGGAACGCTCTGGAGCGGCCGCGGCGCCCAATACATCCTCCAAACCCGCCGATTCTCAGAGATTTCGAGTTATCCCGATCCGATTTTGTCTCGATCTTCGCGTCGTTTTACCTCGAGGTCGCAAGATACGGAAAGCCTCCGTCCTGATTTTTTCAACACGCTGGATTTCTGGGCCCCCTTTCCGCAGCCGAGAGTCTCGGCGGCCGGGGGGGGGAGATCGGGGCTGCCGCCCCCCCGCCGAGTCGCGCGCTGGCCCGCTGCCTCCTCGCCCTCGGCGGCGCCGCCGCCCTGACGAGCGGCCCGGCGTTCGCGTGCCCGCCGGCACGCCCAGCCTCCGCCCGCCCGGCCTCCGCCGCGCCGCGGGAGGGAGGGAGGGAGGGAGGGAGGGAGGGAGGGAGGGAGGAGGAGGAGGAGGAGGAGGAGGAGGAGGAGGAGGAGGAGGAGGAGGAGGTAGATAGAGCGGCATAGGGGGGCGAAGCAGTGCGATCCGCCGCATGGATGGGCCCCCGCCGTCGCCGCTCAGAGCGGCACCTTCATTGTGATCTCGGCGCCACGCACGCCGATCACCTTGCCGAACGAGGCGTAGTCGCGTCGGCCATCCAATTTCTCATAGTCATAGCCCTGCCAACCACGCAGCTGGCTCATCCCCAATGACTCCCGCTGGTGGTTTGCACGTCTTCACCATAGCTCCCGCTTGGATCAGCGCTCTGTGTATGCTGTCCTTGAAGTAGCTATGCTGCTTCTGCTCCTCTGAAGGAACCTCCTCGGCCTCCGCATCGGTCCAGGGCCCCTGCTCGATATACGGTGTGATATTGGCATGGTGCTGTCGTAGCACTTGCTGATCTTCAGGTGCTTCACCTTGTTGAGGACTGTCGCCGCTCTGACCTGGTCCACGAACTTCCCGTGCTCTGTGAGAATGCTCTTGGTCTTGGCGCCCACGTCCTCGGAGCAGAGGGTCGAAATAAACGTGACGCGGAAGTGTCCTCCTGGTGGTCCCAGCGAATGTCCCATTGCCCGCCTCCTTGCACTTGTCCGCGTAGAGCTGACTGCGGGCTCGGAGCGCCTTGATCACGTTGGTCTGAGTCGGCATCATGAGGTGGAGGTGGCCACGGCTTGGACTTGCACTGAAGCTGTCTGTAGAAGCGGCGCCAGAGGGGGCACAGCTTGTGGAGCATGCGCAAGCCGAGGACCTGGGCTTGCCGTTCTTCTTGTCGAGAGTGAAGCTCTGGCAGTGGTGGTCGCTGAGTGGGGCGAAGCCGACGCGGTACACGTGGTTGAGGACTGACTCGAAGCTCTCCTGCGCGAGGGGTGCCTCAGCGAGCTCGTCATCGTAGCCCACGCCTGTCGTCTTCGACTTCTGCGTGGTGAAGTTGGTGGGCTGGAGGGTCATCTGGAAGATCCCGGCGGGCAGTGACCAGTCTGGCACGGAGGCGCGCTTCTTGAAGTACTTGAACCGCTTGGTGACGCCATGAGGAGTTCGCTGGATGCCGTCCTTGGCGTCCTCGCATTCCTGGCGTACTTGTAGGTTGCACTCGGTGGTGAACTCGAGGGTGGTCTCTTTCGAGATGCGTTTCTCCTCCTCGAGGTCGATCTGGCGAACTCTGACCCCTCCGTGCTGGCCGTCTTGTGCAATGTGATCTGCCCCCTCCTGCAAGCTGGGGCGTGCTCTGGTCGCGCGGCTGTAGTTGCGGTTGCGCTTGCCGTAGTTGGTGCCGGCCAGAAGCCGAGACAGTTGGTGTACTTCAGCGTGTTCTCGTCGTTGCCAAGCCTCGTAGATGCGCTCCTCTAGGTGTTGCCTTCGTTCGGCTTCGTGCTCCAGAAGTAGCCGCAAACGTTCCTTCATGAGCTGGTAGTACTGGTCGGGCTTGGACTTCTGGCGCTCGAAGAAGGGCTTGGCTACCTCCGACATGATGTTCACGATGAGCTCCCAGTGTTCGTCCACTGTGTTGTCCCTTGCCAACTCCTTCAGCTTGTCCTGGTGCTTGCCGAAAGTGAACTCCAGCGCGTCATTGAACTCCGCGCGGTACTTGCCCTTCTGCAGGGCCAGGGCCAGCTTGTCGTAGATCCAGGCCGCTCGCCACCAGACTCTGCAATACGTGATGTGGGTGCATAGTACTTGAGGCACTGCGAAGTAGTCGGGGCGTGTGGCCTGTCCTTGGGCTCCGAAGTACGTGGGCCCCGCGTTCCAGAAGGTGTTCGGGATGAACTTGCCGTGCACGTCGAGCATGTTGTGTAAGGCAGCAGCTGCCTCTCCAGGTACTCCTGTAGGGCCTGCGTCGCCGATCGCGTTGCTAAGCGTGGCAGGAAGCAATCCGTCCTGAACATAGATAGTGGTCGTGCAGGTCGAGGCCGATGATCGGCGTGCTCCTGGTGGGCGTCTCGTGCGGGGTCTTGTTGATCCGCTTGAGCGTCTCGTTGACCGTCTTGACCCAGGCGTTGTGGTGCTTGGCGAGCCCTGACCGAGGAGGTAGAAGCGCGCCAATGAAGGTCATGTCTAGTTCTCCTCGGCGAAGGCGAACTGCTCCTGCTCGTCCTTTAATGCTCGGCGGCGGGCTGGGGAGCTCGGCCACGCACAGGATGCGGTAGCAGTTGCTGATCATGATGGCCACGCCCGCGTGATGGTTGGAAGGGCCTCTGCCGTAGCCCCCCGTGAAGATGAGGTGCTTGTAGGTCTGGGGCTGGTCGACGGGGCTGGTGGGGACGACGTCGACTGCGCTGAGCTGTCTCGAAATCTCCTTGCTTCTTGGTGGCGCGGCCATGTTGAGCGGGTTGTACACACCCCATCGCGTGCAAGTCATCCAGAAGATCGCAAGAGAAGAAATATGGATGGCCAGCCGCGCTGGCATGACATGAAGGGTGCCCTGAGGGCGGTAGCTGCTCTGCGTGGGGTGCCTGCTGGGCCGCGAAGGATGGGGCTGGAGCAGGAAACGGCGACTGAGGAGGAGGAGGAGGAGGAGGAGGAGGAGGAGGAGGAGGAGGAGGAGGAGGAGGAGGAGGAGGAGGAGGACCCCCTCCCACTCCATGTTATGGTAACCAGGCCCTGCGGCCAGGCCCTGCCGCCGCCCAGGCCCCCTCGAGGCACGAGAAGAAATCGCAACGGCTGACGCGCTGGGGAAGGAGACCCAGGGGAAAGCTTGGAATGGCGACGACGACGACGAGGAGACGACGAATGAGACGGCGACGAATGGAAGAGCCTCTTCCTCACGCCGACAGTGTCGGCAGAGTTTCGGCCTCTGGGGGCCCTTGCCGGGCCGCGGGGCCGTCGAAAATCGAAACCGGGTGAACATCGGGTCCCTGAGGAGGAGGAGGAGGAGGAGGAGGAG